TCTTACGAAGGCCTCGGCCTCTGTGCCCTGTTGTTGGCCCTCCGGAGGAACTGGTTGGCCCCTGTGTGAGACAGGAGGCTGGACTAGGTGGACCACTGGTCTGATCCAGCAGGGCTCTTCTGGTGTTCTTAAGGCAGCCTTGGCCTCTCTCCCCTGTTGTTGGCCCTCCGGAGGAACTGGTTGGCCCCTGTGTGAGACAGGAGGCTGGACTAGGTGGACCACTGGTCTGATCCAGCAGGGCTCTTCTGGTGTTCTTATCACCCCAGTGCAATTCTAGTGCTTCTGGGTCATCCCGGAAGTGACATCATCATGCTGTGACAAAAATCTCCCCCCCCATTCTGTCCACCTGCCTATGCCCACGGACCAGATCAGTGTTGTCAGGCATTGGCAATAATTACCTGGAGTTTGCCCACTGTTAATGGGCACCTGGGACCCCTAAACCCCATGCCTCTCAGAGTACACAAGAATGATCGCCATCAAGGCTCCTGAACCTTTTGGAGCGTGCAGGAATCTTTGGAATTCAGCGTGGTGGGCACAGCCACAAAACAGCTGTCACAAAATGGCTGCTCCAGTTGGTGGAACCCGCCACATGATGGCCACTACCTCTTGCCTTCAATAACACAGTGAAGGTTCTTGTGCTGCGGGGTGGGGGCGGGCGCTGCTGCAAAAGCAGCGTCTTTAAAAATCCGCACAGCCAATCAAATCTCCAGTGGCCAATCAGGAGCCTTGCTGGGCAAAAGCCCCCTCTGGGTCCGGCCACTTTCTCAAAACGTTTGGGATGCACCCGGAAAGATGTCAGCAGGCACTAGGGCACCTCTGGCCATTCACATCAGTTAAGGGCGCAGACTCTAATCTGGGAGAACCGGGTTTCATTCCCCACTCCTCCGCTTGGACCTGGCTGGATGACCTTGGGCAAGCCACAGTTCTGTCAGAGCTGTTCTTGAAAAAGAGCCGTTTCTGTCAGAGCTCCCTCAGCCCCGCCTACCTCACAGGGTGTGTCTTGTTGTGGGGAGGGGAAGGGAAAAGGAGTTTGTAAGCCGCTCTGAGACTCCTTTGGGTAGTGAAGGGTGGGGTATAAATCCAGTCTCCTCCTCCAGTCTGGTGTCGTGGTTAAGTGCGCAGACTCTAATCTGGGAGAACCGGGTTTGATTCTCCTCTCCTCCACATGCAGCTGCTCGTGCGACCTTGGGTCAGTCACAAGTTCTCTCGGCGCTGTTTCTCTCACGAGCAGTTCTCAAGAGAGCTCTCTCAGCCCCACCTACCTCACAGGGTGCCTGTTGTGGGGAGGGGAAGGGAAAGGAGATTGTAAGACACTCTGAGACTCCTTTGGGTAGTGAAGAGCGGGGTGTAAATCCAATCTCCTCCTCCTCCTTCTTTTTCTTCACATCGGGGACTCCTGATCTAAATGGTCCAACCCAGTTCAAGGCAGTTTTCATGGATTCTCACTGATTCTGATGCCTAACCATAGGGCAGAGATTCCATTGCCGCCTTTGGGAAGAAAACCTCCTCCTCCTCAGACTCATAGCTACAGTGCGGCATTTCGGGGCCCAGTCCCCTGACTTTCCACCAGGGCCCCCAACTTACCACCCTGGCCAGCCCCCCCCCCAACTTATTTCTTGCACTCGCTGCCCTTTCTTTAAATGGGAGACGCGGGGGGGGGGTTAACACACACCTGCACTCTAAGCAAATTCCAGTGCCCCCTCACTTTTTAAAAGGCCCCCCAAATTAAGAAATCCTGGCTACAGGCCTCCTCCTCCTCCTCTCACTCCATTCTATCAAGGGTTAATGTGACTCTTTAAAAAATGCCATTTTGCAAGGCGAGGCACCAGAGCTCATTAATTATAGTGCAAAGGAGTTGAGTCAGCCAGCTTTTGTCTTTCCAGCGCCAACTCCTTTCCCCGATGACGAACCAGAGCTCCTACGTCTCTGCTCTGCATCCGTGATTACTTGCCGCCCACGTGCAGAGAAGGATTGGGCCTTCGCTCCCTCTAATATTGTAAGGCGGGGGGGAACAGACTGGAGGGAGGAGAAGAAAAAGAAGAAGAGGGGGAGGAGCAGGAAGAAGAAGAAGAGGAGGAGGAAGAGGAGGAAGAAGAAGAAGAGGAGGAGGAAGAGGAGGAAGAAGAAGAAGAGGAGGAGGAAGAGGAGGAAGAAGAAGAAGAGGAGGAGGAAGAGGAGGAAGAAGAAGAAGAGGAGGAGGAAGAGGAGGAAGAAGAAGAAGAGGAGGAGGAAGAGGAGGAAGAAGAAGAAGAGGAGGAGGAAGAAGATGAGGAGGACAAGAAGAAGAGGAGAAGCGAGGAGATTGGGTTTATACCCCACCCTTCAATCGGAGTCTCAGAGTGTCTTACAAACTCCTTTCCCTCCCCCTCCCCACAACAGACACCCTGTGAGGTGGGTGGGGCTGAGAGAGCTCTCTTGAGAATTGCCCATGAGCGAACAGCTGTGCCAGAGCTTGTGACTGACCCAGGGCCACACCAGCAGCTGTGTATGGAGGAGTGGGGAATGAAACCCAGTTCTCCCAGATTAGAGTC